AACAACTTAATTTCCTTTGTTTGTTGTACACGAATGGAGTAACCTTGAGTATGGTTTTAATTCTAAAAATAGTCATTAATAGTTCTGTTTCAAAACAGAAATCCTCGAGGAATAAAAGTGTTTCTGTACTTTCTTGATTGATAATATTGGGTCCCAGTAGTGGTTGAGTTGTCTACAAGCTCGCTAACCTTGTAACTGTAAGGTCCTGGGGGTTCGAATCCCGATAGGTGGGTTCGCGCTGATAAGGAGTCCCACACTAGAACGAAACGGCTGTTTAGTACTCCCAGGTTTCCCAAACTTGAAACCAATCAAATCCCTATAGACAAACTCTTGAAAACAACAGATAATAATTGTCAATATTGACTTTAAAACCTGATGTGGAACCGTTATTGTATTGTCCCCTATTATTCTTTGTGAGATAGATGAATTCCAAGCATTAATGTACCGGTTTTGATCTTTTGAAAGCTTCTTACGAATCAAGTAGCTGTGCATATAGTAAGACTAAAGATACTGTTCCTTAAAATGGCATTGAAATTTTCAATCACAGTGTTTGCCTAAGCTGAATTCAAGCAAACAGTCACTCAGTTGAGATGTATAACCACAAATAGATATACGACAAGTTGAAAATGATGCATATCGATGTATTGAATTCATTCTACTAAGGCGTAAAATTCCAATCATTCTCAAAAATACCTAATTCTTTTGTGATCTTTGAATAAAGCGAGAACTACAGTTTTTGCTAAAAAAAAAGTGGTACTATCATTTATTTCGTTGCCTTCTCATCTACTGCTTACAGGCCACAGTCATTATTAAGTATATCTACAGAAACAATTTTAACATACACAGAGTTCATTGTAAACAAAAATCAATCAATCGATATATGCATACAGTAATAATATGCATATATATATATATATATATATATATATATATATATATATATATATAATATTAAACACTATTCCGAACAACAGCAGCAACATCCAGCGCCAATCACCATCAACGGAAGGGATTTGAAAGAGGTTACTTCATTCACTTATCTAGGGAGCATTGTCTCAACTACAGGAGGAACGGACGAGGATGTCATATCGAGAATCGTGAAAGCGAGAAACACATTCATCAACCTGAAACCAATCTGGAAATCTTCGTCACTCAGCATCAACAACAAAATTCGGATTCTCAATACAAACGTCAAGTCACTTCTTCTATACAGATCAGAAACTTGGCCAGTGTGTCACAAAGAATATTTCCAACAGCCTGTTGCAGACCTTTATCAACAACTGTTTTCGTTCTATACTGAAGATCAGATGGCTGGAAAGAATCACCAACAAGAAACTATGGGAGCAAACAAAACAAGAACCAATCGCTCAACAAATATGCAGGAGAAAGTGAAGATGGATTGGACACTCGCTGAGGAGGCCGTTGGGTGACATCGCACGTCAGGCCATAGCTCGAGTGGAACCCGAAAGGGAAGCGGTGAATGGGACGTCGAAGGGTGACATGGAGGAGATCGTGTGAAGAGGAGTTGAAACAGTATGGACTAAAATGGATGCAGGTGAAAAGTACAGCATAAGACAGAAACAAGTGGAGACGTGCAGTTGAAGCCCTATGTTCCACTAGGAACCCAAGGGAACCATAATAATATAATAATTCCGAACAATAGTGATCATACACAATGGAAACTTTCAGCACCACGTATCCAGATGAAAGAGAGATGAAAATATCCAGTTACCATGGTGGCAAAGGAAGATTGATAACTTTCTTTCTGGACGCACAAATCAGGTTTCAGGCGCTTGATGGAGATGGCTTCAGCAAACTTGAGGAGAGTTGAGCTCTTTTACCTATTGATAATTTTGAACGATTTTGCGACGTCCACCTCATGACCCGTGTGATCACTTACATGGGAATTGACATGAAAGTTTTATAAGTTTGTGCGGAGTTCGCCTTTAATAACAGGTATCGTATTGTAATACATACTTTAGAGTAGCAGGTTGTAACAGAGTCTGTCTAATGCCAACCAAATTCCCTTGCAAGTAACATCTCACTGCTATGTGACAAAAATCAAGAGGCGATTTTGTGTGATCTACCAGTTGTAATAATTAAAAGAAATGATTTGGAATATACCCACAAATTAATTAACAACATAATTTAAGACATCAAATTCACAAGAGAAGAATTAGATAACAAAATCCCATTTTTAGATGTCTTAATTAGGAGAACTAACACAGGAAATTTAGAAACACAAGTATAGTACACAGATCAAATACTCAACTTTACTAGCAATAACCCAATTACCCACAAAAGAAAGTGTGTGCAGACATTGTTTAAAAGAGTTCAAACACACCGTAGCACTCTAGTGTTCGTTGAGGAGAATGGAGGAAAAATACCTATTAGCCGTCCTCAAAAAGAATGCATATCTTCCCAATTTTATCTAAAAGTGTTTAAAATCGAGTCACAACACCAACAAGAAACCATCATCAAAGACTACAAGAAAATTCATTCTACCATATATCAGAAAAAAATAATCTCTGAAATAACAGCTAGAATACTGAAACCGTTTGAAATAGATGCACCCTAACACAAGCCAGCCAGCCAGCCAGCACAATCACTTCATTCGATATTGTGCAAACTGAAAGATCCAACAGAAAAAGGAGATAAAATTAATACCATTTACAAAATAAATTGTATGAACTGTAACAGACATTACATCGGCCAAAGTGGGCTTCCCCTTCGAATCAGAACCCAGAACACAAATTAGCTGTAAAAAGTCATGATATATATATAAACATTGTTTCATATCAATGCATGTAGATAATTATTGACACCAATTTGATGATTGGGATAATGTCGAAATTTTAAACAGAGGAAACACCAAAAGTGCCAGAGAATTCCTAGAAGCCTGGTACTCAAGTGAATCAGCGATTAACAAACATATTAATATAGACCAAATTTACCAACTAATAAAAAGTAAATCACGTGACGAGAAAGTTCAAATTCTAAGTCAATAAAAAATGATCACTACAGATGTAAATCGACTACCAATCATAAAGATGGTTGCCAGGAGACACAATTCTCTCATTCATTTTATGCTGAAACTTGCACTGAAGATATTGCCTAGAAGGACGATGAAAGCTCCGCAATTAAACCAACCAGCTCAGGGAGCACAACTAATTCCGAATCTACCAGTTATGTAAGAAGACACACACCATTTCTCCACTTCAACTTGCAAACATCTTCGACTTAAGTTGGTTCCAACAAATTTCCTAACATGTTCTTGATTAACTTTTATAAGCAAGATTGCTTTTCATATATATGCTGGTTGCAGTAGGTGTGTTATGAGATAGATTTTAAATTACGAAATGAAGAACCGAGATTTGCTTCATTGGCTAAACTACTACTGCTTTCAGACTAAGGGACCGCGCAGAATAGTTGACCTTCACTTTACACCGTATAAGTATGGTTTACAGTCTAGTATATGAGAAAATCAATAACTAAGTCCTAATTTTCCATTAAGTCCCTTGGGCTGCACACACAGACTGTAATTATTTCATCGAAATTTGTATTGAGGAATGTATGTAGTAATATCAACGGTTAAAAACCATGTAGATGCGTATTTTTAGAACACATGAAAACTAACTCAGTTCATTAAAGATAAGAGTGAATTTTGTTTGTTTGCCTGTTTTTTTTAATTGCTTATAGTTCTTGTATTCATTCAGAACTCTTACGTAATTTCGTATTCTCTACTTTGTTTCTATGTGCATCCTGAGTACAACTCAACCATCCAACTATTCATATTGTTACGTAACTTCTTTTTGACAACTGATTGTGACAACTCATCACCTTTGTTACCACACTAGTTTCATTAACACCCAATTTCCTTGACCGTTCTCGTATTACGTAACTCCACACTAAACTTACTAATTCTCGATATAAGAACAGAGTATAATTCCATTGTGGGTAAATTTTGTTTTGATAAAGTCTCACAGTGTTATATAGTAATATTTACTGATGACATTTTGAGCATAATTTACTGCTCATAATCATATCATACTTTATCAAAATAGATTTTACCCCCCCCCCCCCAATGGAATCTTACTATTTCTCACCTGTTTAGTTAAAATAACCATAACCAATTGTATTTTTCAAGTATTGGTTTTTCGTTGGGATTCAGTTCGATTGGGTGGAGGATTTCATCATGAGCTGAGATCGGTTAGAGAAGCATCGGAAAACCTGAGAGTACTGGACAGCTGTTTCGCACTATGAGACGCTCAGGAGCGACTGGCGGGTGCGTGCGTACTGGTGAAGGGTCCCAAACTAGGACGAAACAACTGTCAAGTACTCTCAAGTCTTCCAAAGATTCTCTAACTGATGTCAGCTCATGATGAAACCCTCCAACCAATCAAACTGAATCCGTACAAAAACCAAAACTTGAAAATTCATCTGATGCTCACTAGCGACTGGTCCTATTCAGGCAGTGACCTGGGGTTCTAGTGGGAAGCCGTGACTAGTAGAGTGCAGCAGGTTGAAGGTGAAGCAGTAGCTCATCAAAGAAGACACTGCTAAGTGATCGCGCCATATTGTGAATTGGCAGAAGTTGGAATTCATGCACTGGCCATTGAATCGGGTGCCAGTGGCTTAATGGTCTTGTAACCGAAAGGTTCTGGGTTTGAACCCCAGTGACTGCGTACCGATGAAGAGTCTGAAACTAGGCTGACAAAACAGCTTTTTTTCCAATGGTTCTTTAACTGATGTCAGCTCATGATGAAATCCTCCAACCAATGAATTGTATTTTTGTTTGACAAACTTAAAGTACACATACACATACAGCTAAGAAAATCAATTCACCGGCAAAAGGAGACTCTTCGCTGAATTACACGTGTTCTGTTTTCAATAATGCTCCGGATGGGAATTATTCATGAATTTCCTAGCAACTATATTAATCCTACTTCATCTAATGTTGCTGTATTTTTGTTTTTGTTTGTTTTTTTCGTATTTATTAGGTGCATCCTGTTTAGTTCTCGGATTTCTTGTCCCACGTCGTTTAATTCGTCAAATGTCTTTAATAGTCACAAAAAATGACGCCACCGCCAAAATTGAGAAATGCATTGAAATCCAGACATATGGAGCTTTTGGTATAAGCGGGAAAGGTGTCACACTTAGAAAACCTTTAAGTGAAGTACAATTTCGGCATAAATTACACGAAGCTAACTTGTCTAGATTAACGCTACAAATGAAAAATGTACCAATTGGGTTTTTATTAGATTTAAAAATGAAACAATACATCAATGAAGAAGAATTACACTGTTTGGTGTATGAAACAAACGAGGAGTAAACTTTACTTTGGAAAAACACAAAATGTGTCTTGTTGGTTCTACTACTCAGTGATGATTTGCAGCTTATTGAAGCATTTAATTCATAGGAGACAATTATGTCATCATTGTATACTGTCATTTCCTATTTTTACTACTAGTAGATGTAATGCTTAGTGATCAGTTTAAATAATGTTATATATATACATAGCCTTTCATCTTTGTTTTTATTTTGACTGGGAATACAAAAATAACTATCATGGAAAAAATGTCTGATCCTATATCTGTATGAATCTAGAAGTTGGTGTTTTTTTGTAAGGATATTGTGCTGATGAGGATTTAGCAGGGACTCTGGTGTTGCCTATTCATTCTACAAGAGTATAATATTTGTTCGGCTGACTGACTGACTGGTTTCAACATAGAACTTTGCACGGATGTGCAGCAATTCCAGCCGCCACACTCTCTCCAATTAGCACACAAAGCAAGAAGAGAAAGTAAACAGAGATATGAGGCAAAAAGAATAGTAATATCGAAGAATCATATAGTTTTATTGGATATTATAAGTCACAAGGAATGAATGCATCTGCGCCAGCCATTGAGAACGATGAGTTTGAGCCATATTACCACTTGAAAATCCCCATTGAGTCATATGAAAAAGAGAAGACATTCAGCGAAGAGACTCTTTTCGGCGAATTCATTCACATAGCTGTACAATCGCATTTATATATAAATATTTGTGTGTGTGTGTGTACATGAGGTTTGTCAAGTTTAGATAATTGATTAGTTAATACAAGAATGACAAAGTTAATCAGACAGCAACTAAAGTAAGACTGAGTTAAAAAAACTAGATGACGTAATATAATTGGCTAAAATGTTACAACTTAGGTCAGGATAGCAACAGAGGTAATTACAGGTAGAGATTAAGTAGAAGTGAAATTGAGTGAATAAGTTGGATGACGTAACATGAATGACTAGAAACTGAGCGTTGTTCAAGTCAGTAACAGTGGTAGTGGGGTGTAGAGATTGAATCGGGTGGGGGTAGAGAACAAGAAAGTTGAGAATGTAAAATGTTACAATTGAGAAGACAAAATAATACTAATGAAGAGACAGAAAAAAAAGATTAGGTAGAATTTACATGTCGGCTAATAAGATTACGTCCATTGCAAGTGTAACGATTGAACGAACTTCTTCTGTATGCAGAGTTCAGGACTTAGCAAGTGAATCGCCATTGCTTCTGCAGTTTGAAGAAGTCTGATTCGTACACCTTTAGGGAGACCACCTCTTACTCTGTAGACGACTTTGAAGTTTGTTTGCGGTGTAGCTTGGTGTCCGGATTCTATCAGATGTTCTAAGATGGAACTGCGGGGGCATCGATTTTCTCCTTTGTAAAACCATGCTGGTAAGTGCTCGGTGATACGTTTGGAAAGCGAGCGCTGGGTACGGCCGACATACCTGGCTCCACACGAGCAGGTGAATTGATAAATGCACCCTGAATGTTCAATTCTCTTTCAACAACGAAATATATCGCCAAAAGGATGGTATAGCTATGGGCTCACCACTAGGCCCTTTGCTTGCAGATTTCTTCATGGCAAAACTCGAAAACACATGCCTGAAGAAAATGATCAATACCTTCGAAATCTATAAAAGATACGTCGACGACACCTTCATTATCGTCAACAACGAAGAAAATCTAGACGACATCTTAAAGTCGTTTAACAATTGCCACCCTGCAATTCAGTTCACGATGGAGAAAGAGTCCAACTCCACAATATCTTTTCTTGACGTCCAACTAACCAGAAGAGAACAGGATGGAACACTGAGAAGATCTATCCACAGAAAATCGACGTGGAACGGACAGCTTACTAACTTTCACAGTTGGGTACCACTATACACCAAACGAAACCTGATCCGTTCACTCAGCTACAGAGTTCGCAGAATCTGCACCCCGGACACCGTAGAAGATGAACTGGACAACCTCAAGAGAATCCTCGTCGAGAATTGCTATCCAGAAAGATTTATTGCAAAATCTATGAATCCTAGACCAGAAAAGCCGCCCATACTCAGCGTCAAGAAAAAACTACTCTACATGAACCTCCAATTCAATGGAGATCTATCTGCGGAAACACTAAAAAATCGACTGTCGCGCTCACTTAAGAAGACCTTCTTCGCAGCTGAACTACGACTAACCTTCTCCACAAAACCTATGATTCATGTGAACGTGAAGGATAAGCTACCGCTGCTGGCCTCATCAATGTGCATTTATCAATTCACCTGCTCGTGTGGAGCCAGGTATGTCGGCCGTACCCAGCGCTCGCTTTCCAAACGTATCACCGAGCACTTACCAGCATGGTTTTACAAAGGAGAAAATCGATGCCCCCGCAGTTCCATCTTAGAACATCTGATAGAATCCGGACACCAAGCTACACCGCAAACAAACTTCAAAGTCGTCTACAGAGTAAGAGGTGGTCTCCCTAAAGGTGTACGAATCAGACTTCTTCAAACTGCAGAAGCAATGGCGATTCACTTGCTAAGTCCTGAACTCTGCATACAGAAGAAGTTCGTTCAATCGCTACACTTGCAATGGACGTAATCTATCTTATTAGCCGACATGTAAATTCTACCTAATCTTTTTTTTCTGTCTCTTCATTAGTATTATTTTGTCTTCTCAATTGTAACATTTTACATTCTCAACTTTCTTGTTCTCTACCCCCACCCGATTCAATCTCTACACCCCACTACCACTGTTACTGACTTGAACAACGCTCAGTTTCTAGTCATTCATGTTACGTCATCCAACTTATTCACTCAATTTCACTTCTACTTAATCTCTACCTGTAATTACCTCTGTTGCTATCCTGACCTAAGTTGTAACATTTTAGCCAATTATATTACGTCATCTAGTTTTTTTAACTCAGTCTTACTTTAGTTGCTGTCTGATTAACTTTGTCATTCTTGTATTAACTAATCAATTATCTAAACTTGACAAACCTCATGTACACACACACACAAATATTTATATATAAATGCGATTGTACAGCTATGTGAATGAATTCGCCGAAAAGAGTCTCTTCGCTGAATGTCTTCTCTTTTTCATATGACTCAATGGGGATTTTCAATCTACTCAAACGTTGCAAGGACCCAGTGACGGTGAAGGAGCTGGATGGTTTCCTGCGTTACTCCGTCAAGCTTGCGGTAGCGAAGACAAAGATTGATTTCTTAAGAGATTGTATAGATCGACATGAGTATCCAAAGATGTATTGGAAGTCACTGAGACGCAACCACATCCAACCGAATACCAGAACACTCAGACGACACACACGAAACAACATCGACTCCATTCAATCACGCGTCCCTGAGCTAGAGCGAAACGTCTACTCAAGAGCTCATGCAGTCGAAGACTTAGATCAAGAACTACGCCATTCCTTCGAAGAATATGTACAACAAGTCACTCAGAAAGAATGTAACAAGACTAAAGCAGATCTTCTCAAAAGCCTAAAGCCTACAATTAATACCGAATCTCCGTTCCCAAGCAATCCAGAAAAGTACGTATTCAATCTTTCAGACATCACACTGTCTACTACTCAACTAGAGGCACTATCTCTAGGTCCAAAATTCTGCGTAAAACCACCAAGTATTGACAAGCTACAATGCCAGGTTCAGTTCGAAAATCTAATAAACCAGACTTACGATCTCACACCTACATCAGACGAAAACCTACAACAATTCAAAGCATCAATCCTCGACTGTTGTCACAAGTTTATAAATACCAAACACAACGGAAGGTCCATCTTGACGAAGAGGCACCATAAGGAGCTGAAAGAACTTATGAAAAATGAAGAGATTATGATATTACGTCCTGATAAAGGCGGAGGAATCGTAATCATGAATCGCAAGGACTATATCAGTAAAATGCTGACTATACTATCCGATGAATGCAAATTCACAAAGCCGATCAACGAGAAAAACATGACTGAACAAACCGAACAAAAGCTAACGGACACCCTTCGTAAGTTGAAGACTGAATCCTTCATCAGCAACGAAATGTTCGAATCCCTTAGACCGTCTGGCTCAAATATACCACGACTTTACGGACTCCCGAAAGTACACAAGAAGGGTATCCCTCTTCGACCGATCCTCGACATGACCAATTCACCCTATCACCGCACAGCTCAATGGTTAGCAGATCTACTTGAACCAATCAGAAAACAAGTTTCCTGCCACACAGTTCGAGATTCATTCGACTTTATCGACTCAATCGAAAATATCAACGTATCCAACAAGACAATGATTTCATTAGATGTCACATCACTATTCACAAACGTTCCACTGACTGAAACAATATGCTACATATGCGAACTTATTCACTCAATGGGAATAAACATCGGTATACCCACCGAGCACCTTAAAGAACTCCTACTGAGGTGTACCCTGAATGTTCAATTCTCTTTCAACAACGAAATATATCGCCAAAAGGATGGTATAGCTATGGGCTCACCACTAGGCCCTTTGCTTGCAGATTTCTTCATGGCAAAACTCGAAAACACATGCCTGAAGAAAATGATCAATACCTTCGAAATCTATAAAAGATACGTCGACGACACCTTCATTATCGTCAACAACGAAGAAAATCTAGACGACATCTTAAAGTCGTTTAACAACTGCCACCCTGCAATTCAGTTCACGATGGAGAAAGAGTCCAACTCCACAATATCTTTTCTTGACGTCCAACTAACCAGAAGAGAACAGGATGGAACACTGAGAAGATCTATCCACAGAAAATCGACGTGGAACGGACAGCTTACTAACTTTCACAGTTGGGTACCACTATACACCAAACGAAACCTGATCCGTTCACTCAGCTACAGAGTTCGCAGAATCTGCACCCCGGACACCGTAGAAGACGAACTGGACAACCTCAAGAGAATCCTCGTCGAGAATTGCTATCCAGAAAGATTTATTGCAAAATCTATGAATCCTAGACCAGAAAAGCCGCCCATACTCAGCGTCAAGAAAAAACTACTCTACATGAACCTCCAATTCAATGGAGATCTATCTGCGGAAACACTAAAAAATCGACTGTCGCGCTCACTTAAGAAGACCTTCTTCGCAGCTGAACTACGACTAACCTTCTCCACAAAACCTATGATTCATGTGAACGTGAAGGATAAGCTACCGCTGCTGGCCTCATCAATGTGCATTTATCAATTCACCTG